TGTATCTGACATCATTTGTGTATATCACTACATGATTGGAAAAGACAAGACATATGGTTATTAAATCATTTGAACAAGACGTGGGACAAAGCGTATTCATTGGATCTATGTCGTCCTCCTCGGAAGTATATTCATCCGCTCGCCATTTTAACGACGAATAAGCTCTTGCTTCTTGATGATAATGACGATCCAAAACTCGTGATTTATGATCCGGAAACGAGATCATCATATGCCTTTTTTTCCAACGTCAACGCTGTGCCAACGGCTCTGCCTTATTTTCCAAGCTTAATCTCGATTATGTAAAAATGGTTATTTCAGACATATCTATGATTGTAATTTTTCAATGTATGGCAGTACCAGATTAGGTCGTTTAGACTTTAGAATTTTAATATGGCGAGCGGATGTATGGTTTCAATTAATTTAGTTTTATAGATAATATATTTTATCTGATTGCATGTTCTTTTCTTAACCAGCAAGTTAAGATAACTCAACCTTAACTGGTTTTTAGGGTTTTGAGGTTTCTTTTCTTATGCAGTGTTTTGCGTGTGTGTGTGTTTTTCTTGATTGCATGTGTTCTGAGCGCTGAAGTGTACGCTAGATATATATATAGAAGTGCACCCCAATATGGTAAATGGTTCAACTAAAGTTTATAAACAAGTGATTTGTTTAAGAAATTCACTAAAGAAATCGATTAAGAGATTTTTTATCTTCATCATTATCCACCACCTAGTCTCCAGTCTCCACTCATGGGCCTCGAGTCACAGTCTTGCTGAGATTTTCTTGCAGAGGCAGCGATACTGTCCGTCAGTACCTCGCAATCTTTCTGTTCATATTTCAAAAAAAATTAAAGTTCTTTAATAAAGTTTGTCTGATAACGAAACTTTTGAAAATTTGAGAATTATGTTGTTGTTCGAAAGAGAAACTCTTGAACATGTTTTATAAGTTTATTAAAAAGTTAAATTAAAAGATTTTCATTTTAAAAAAAAAAAAAAATTGCCTTAAGCCCCTGTGAACCTACGCACGACACTGAAACGCAATCAAAAGGTGAGATCTAAGCATTTCACTACAAGAAAACATGCTGAATTTCTGCGAATTTTTCTACGAAACTTTTGGTAGAAAACTCTTTTACCATTTTTCTATGAATTTATTATAAAAAGATATGGTAGAAAATTGGAAAGAAATTTCAATTTTTTTGTAAATTTTTCCCAGAGTTTTTTTTTTTATCCAACTCACCCAAGCTCTTGCTCACCGTTGCTGTTTTGTTTAACTTGAACAAGAAAAAAAACCTGCTTTCTTTGTAGCAGAGTGATCAAGTTGATATGCAGATGTTGAAACTTGGAGCTGCTCTAGATAGAAAGTTAAGAAGCAATGGAGTTTTTGTTTCTACTGTTTCAAAAGTTTGATAAAGCTTGCAGAAACAGCATAACCAGAGAGTCATCAAACACAAGGGAAAAGTCAGGGACATGAGGAAACCTTTGGGTCCATCATATGGAAAAGAAGCTTCCAGTATCAATCCCAACACAAGCCGGAGCATCCGATTCAAGAACTAGCCACATGTCACCATTTTTCTTACTTTCCTTGCTTTTTTGTTCTTGTAGTCGAAACATTAGTCCTTGTTTGGATTGAAATTGGAAATACATTTCGAACTTTTATCCAATAAAATGTTAAAAACACCCAAAAAAGAAGTCAAAAACTCAAAACTCACCTTTCTTTCTCTCGGAAAAAAAAAAACATTACAGTATATAGAAAAAGCAACAGGTATATATATCTTACCAAAAAGAAAGTAGTTTATATATATTGAAAAGGAGAGAAATTTGTACAATCTTGTAATATATAATAGGGATGGTTTTTTTAACTCTTCTTGGCATTTTTAAGATTGCGTACGGTCATGACCAGTTGTTGTCTCTCACCTTCAACTTCTGCAAATCTTAGACTTATCTCTAAATATCTTTCTTGCATCTCTTTCAATTCTATCTCCATCAATCCATTTTGCTCTCTTAGCGTCGCTACTTCACTTGCCAAATCTTGAAGATCATCACTGCACAACACAAAAGAAAGAAACAATCAGAAATGATCGGTAGTTTCTTCGGTTTTTGTATTGGTTCACGAACATCATACCTCTTGTTCGATGACAATACTTGTCTGTTCTGCAAATCTAAACGGTGCAGAGATTCACCGTTCTGTTCATAAAAGCAGAGTGTTATGGTGATGGGTGTAGTAGAAAATGCAATTCGATTGTGTGCAAGATTAAGTATTGTTACCTCTTGGCTATTTGGACTTAGTTTGTTGAGTTTAGTCTGCAACTCTTCGATTCTATTCTTCAAATCATTTTCCTTTTCGATGAACATCTTAGATGAGGCCTCCAAAGCAATTTCCTTTAGTTTGATTTGTTCCTGGATCACAGAAAAATTAGCATCCACATTATTAAAATAATTAGTTGAATAGTGAATGTTTTTGTCTTAAACGCATACCTCGAGGAGTCTTGTTCTTTCTTCGTTGCTTCTTTGCTCCAGTTTTGTTACGTCGTTAGCCATTCCTTCTTCTTTCTTCTTCAGCTCACATCTGTGTTTCTCGATCTCTGATTCATTCTTGGATAAAGAATGCTTTAGAGCATTACATTGCGCTCTAGCAGTTTCTAGTTCTGATTCTAAAAGGCTAATGACTGCTTCGTTTTCATCTTTGATACGCTGCATTTCCTGCAACTCCTCTGCCAAAGAGTCTGATTCTTTCTTCATCGATGCAATCGTGCTTGATAGCCCATCTTTCTCTGCCTCGACTTCAATTCTCGATCTTCTCGTTTCTTCCAATTCAAGTCTCAAGATCTCCATCTCATCCTTCAGCCTTGTGATCTCTTGAGTTAATTCTGCATTAACATCTTCTTCTTGCTTCTTCTGAGTCTCTAGATGCTTGGATTTCTCCACAAGACCCTCTAATATTCTGTCCATCTCCTTAGTTTTTAGATCCGTCTTTTCCGAGAGCTCGTTGAGCCTTGCCTCATACTCTACCCTATTTGCTTGGAGTTCATCGTTAGCGCTCATGAGAAGTTCTTCTATTTGACGCTTCTGCATGCGCAGGTCACGGGTTTCTGCCATTGCCTTCTTAGCCATCTTCTCATTTGCTGAAAACGTAGAAGACATCTGCTCAGAGATTCTCTTGAAGTCATCCTGGATTTTCCCGGCTACACTAGCGTTTTTCCACCTCGACTTCCTCAGAGCTTCTTCGGCTTCGATAGCTCTTTGCTCTTGCTCCACTTTAGCACGCGTGACAGCTTCAATATCTGCCTCAAAGATGTGAGCTTGTTTCTCTAGTTCTTCTTCCATACCCTCGATCTGCGTTTCAAGTTCTTTAATGCGGCGCAAGGACTCAGAGAAATCCTCGGACTGCTTCTTGAGCTTAGCTTCTAGGCTCTCTACTTGATTTTCAAGCTCGTTCACGTTTACAAGAGAAGATGAACATTCGTATTGCAACTTCAACTGTTCTTGCACCTGGCTTTGCTCGAGCTTGTATGAGATATCATGATTTTCCTGCTTAAGTATCTCGTAATCAAGAGCAAGCTGCTCCACCTGTATCTCAAGGTCATCTTTGTCTCGTTTATGGATCTCTATCTCATTGTAGAGATCAGTGATCCTCCGCTCAAGGACGTGTGCTTCTTTTGCATCCATGTGTCCCTTCACAAGCTCATCCAGTGCCTTTTGATCCTCGTCTTCATCTGTCTCACTTGTGCTTGACCTTCTCCTCGATTCTTGAGTGTTGTTCTCGCAGGGTCTTGGTCTAGGAAGATCGACTGTCCTTTTACGTCTTTGCCCCACCATTGCTTCTAGATCTTGCACAGCAAGAATCAACTCGGTGTTTGATTCTTGTGTCTTCTCGAGCTGTAACCGTAGATTGGAATTCAGATCCTTTTCATAATCCAGTTCTTCTCGGGTTTCTTCTAAAAGAACTTGCGGATCGCTTCCTTCACACTGCAACTTGTTCCTAAGTTTCGCGTCCTCTTTTCGCTTGTCCAATGCTTTAATACTCTCACAATCTACCTTCAGCGAATCTCTCTCCTGCTTAAGGCTGGTTACTTCCTTCAGGAGATCCTGGCTTCTTTTGGTCTCTTTAACAATTTGTTTACGCAAGCTCTGTAGCTCTAACTCCGAGAAATCTGTTCGCCTTGCCAAAGCAACGAGCTCGGCTTTAAGCTTCTCTACCTCGTCTTCTCTCGAAGTGTCCCTAGGGACGGTCTCATTTGAGCTATTCATGGAGTCATCGGTGCTGATTCCTTGATCGGAACTTCCTGACCACTCGGATTCTGATATTTGAGGCTCTTCATATACATTGGTAACCGAATGGTGATTCATACTTTGGTGGTTTTGCTGAATGAGATCTCCTCTGCTTCCAACTTCTCCCAGTGTATCCAGTTCAGAGACACTGTCGAAGCTTGACAGTGTACTGTCGGATTCAATCGATGCTCGACGCCTCAACTCAGCAATCCGAGATGCTTTACCAAATGGACTTTCCTACAAGAGCAGACACAAATGATTAAAAAATCTCTAACTTCCTGATGCAGAAATGACTTCAGGAACATACAAGTACCTCTTGTGAATCACTTTTATGGCTTTCGTCTGCGTCAATGCTCAAATGGGACTTCAAATCTTGGCTCCGTGACCTTTTCACCAAACTATCGCTTTCTTTCACCACTCTGCAGAGCACACAGACAAATCAGAGAAACTCATAAAGACTTTGCAAGAACTTGAGAGTCCAGTGTCTTTGTACCTTTGCAGATCCACATTTTCAAGCTGCCTCTGTATTGATACCTGATAGTGAATAAAAGAAACCAGTTCGAAGCTCAAAATATCATTCAGAAGACAAAGAAGCAAAAGTCTTGTGAGCTTTTACTCTAATGTCTCATGACAAACATTAATGCAAGAAAGAGAGAGAGAGAGGGAGCTAATTACGTGCAACATTGCTTTCGAATTTGAATTCTGCAGAGGAAGAGAAACGTTGCAAGTCTTAATCGCATCAACATAATCAGCAAAGTCAATCGAAGTCTCTCCCACCAGACCAGACTTTGAAGATCCCTGCAAAAAGAAGCTAAGAAATCTTATAAGAACACAAACAAACAAATCTCAGAGATCAGAACTTTTTGTGTGTTTTCCTCACCGTAGTTGACACAATAAAATGATAGATTCTTTGGTTAACTTTCCCATTCTTCATATCCTGAAGAAACTTCACCGTCTCGTACACCGGAGATTCCCACCGGCAATGTCCGTCGAGAACCATCGCCTTCTCTGTCTTTCCCGTCGACTTCCCAACATCTCCAGGAACAAGAGAGATCATTAATCCCTCCGCTTTCAACTGAGTCACCTGACCAACAAAAAAAAAATCTAAGATCCAAATTCCAAAAAAAATCCGACTTTTTTTAATTGTTCTTAAAGCTGAAAATGGAATTTCACTGTTTATACTAGTCATCTCAAATGTCAGATTGACTATATCTTTCCTCAATTTCTGGGAAAATTTTCAAAAAAATCCAAGCAACGATCCTCTTCGTCTACATTTTCCCCAGACAAAATGGCGAGAAAACTTAGAGGAAATTATACCTGAGTCGCATGAAACTGCAGCTTGAAAACGATTTTGATCTTGTTCTTCTCGCTCCGCCATCTCGCCGACTTAAACATCTCCACCGCCGAGTGTTGATCGCCGAGTTCCTCACCGGAGCTCCGGGCATTCTCGCTGGGAAGTAGCCATCTTCAACACTCGAATTCAGTCCAATGTGGAGCAATTGGTCATCAAAAATGGCTACTAGTAGCGAATCCACCAAGCAAAAATCTACTCATCCGAGTTCGGCTCAGTGAATCGGATCGAGTTTAACTCTGATTACGTCAAGAAGAAGAAGACGCTGAGCGTTATAGCTCCACCACTGAAGTATTTTTTATAAATGGGACAAAAAGACGAAAAGTAGATCTAATAAACTCTTTAGAGACAAAAGAGGGAAAATATACATTTTTTGTTAATTAATTTATTAGTTTTTTCCAACATTAGTTAAACGAAAATTATACCATATTTTTGTATCACCAAACCGAAGAAATAATTATTTTATCAATTAACGTCAATAATTAGTTAATTTTTGTGATTTAGCTACAAACTAGGCTCAACCGATTCTGTTAAAGTCAAAACTACTACCTTTTTTTTTTAACACTAAAACTACTATTTCACATTTATTCAATGTCGAAGGTATTCTATCATTTTTTTATTCATTTCACATTTTGCCAGTATTTTAGCAAGTGCGTTATGATTTCCGCCATTGTCATCATCATTGTTTCAAAAACTAATGTTAGACAAAAATATATAATGTAGGGCAATTCTCTAAAATATTTGTGTATAAAAAAATTGTACCGACAGATTTGGTAACAAGATCTTTTATATAATCGATTAAAATAATAAATCTTACGCTCTCTACTGAAACGGTACGCACCACATTTTTTTTCATCCATAGTGGAATTTTTAGCTTTATTTATTTTAATGATTATTGAATTTCTTTTCTTTTTGGCATTGCATTCTTTTTTTTTTTTTTGTTAATCTGCATGTTTTGGGTGGAGGGAACAGTGACTAATAAGTCTTAAAATGACGTGTTTACCCTCCGTCGACTGGTGTACTTATCTTCGTATTTTCTGCTAATAGGGGTAATATAGTCAGTTACATAAATACACATGCATGGTCGTTGGTCTCGATGATGATAGCATTAAAAAAGGCAACGGTCATTTTTTCCCCCCAAAAGGAAATAGTCAGCTTTAACGTTAATTTCAAGAATATAACTTCGGATTAATCATCACAATTTATATATTTACCTGAGAGAAGTATGTTTAACCACAATTTTTTTGGTAATTACGCAATATATTGCTGCTTATATTAGAGGTTTCTTCTTCCAACGAATCATTGAATGCCGATATATAGTCTTTACATCGAACGTATAAACAACGGACAAACCTTAAAATTCAATTATACTAAATGGTCATTAGTTTTGATATGTAACATTGCCCAATATGTTAACTTTCACAATTCTTCTTAGAAATTTCAATTTCATATAGTCAATGAATTGTTTCAAACTATCAATCCATATATACAAAAGTGTAAGCTTAATTGCTGCACAAAATTATTTTTGCAGATGGTATTATTTCAGGAATTTTACCGTTATTTTTCAAGATATTGATCCAAACATTTAAATTTATTGTAAGACTTTAAAGCATAATTATGTGTGATGTTTTTGCCAGTCTGCCTTTTATTTTGCTAAAACAATTAATTTAATTCCATCATTGGACATGGGAACATGCGAATTTTCATAAGCTGTGTGACATCAAAACCTGATAGATATTATTTTGTCTTTTCTCTGTACAACATTCCAATACTTGTGGGGTATATAAGCAGCTGTATTTTTATTGTTAGCTTATACAAGAAAATTAAATTAATATAACAACAAGTAAAGAAAATAACAAACAAATACAAAATTCTGATTTTTAATTTGATTTAGAGAAAGGCCTTTTGAGATGCTACCAAAAACTTGGTGTCTCTGTGGTGTTATTGGAGATTAGTTCTAGAAAGGGTATGTAAGTTGACAACTATAAAAATTTAGGGCAACGTTTTGTTTTCGTATTAAACTAATATTCAATATATGAAAATGATGATCATTTTGTCTCTAATTTATAAATTTAACACGAGAATATGCATATGACACCAAATTTTAGGTGCAATTGTGCTTATAAAAGATTCATATTGTTTAAACAAAAAATTATAAGTTAAAAAAAAAAGATTCCTATTGGTTACACAACAATTCCTACACAATAGCTCGTAGGCTCGTGCGCAGTATATATATAACTTTTTTATTCATTTGGTTCTTTTGGGGGGTTTTAAAAAGTCTACCATTGAAAGATTCCCATTGCTACACAAAACCAATACCTAATGTTGTTAGAGACCTCTCTGAAAAAGAAAAAAGCACACACATAAAAGTATACAAACAGTAGAAGATGATCTAACATTTATGATTTATCACCAAATCTAGATAAATATATTTTCTGAGGATTATAAACAGACTGCATGTCATCTTGTAATTTTGTTTTTACAATTAATGAATAGAGTATTATGTTTCTTTGGGTAGGTTTATCCGTTAAAATTAACAATTTCATCATTGGTTTTTCTATTAAATCTTTTGAAATGGACTATTATTCGATCGATGCCAGAGATCAGAGTTCAACAAGCAAGTCATAAATGAAGTCACGAATTCTACCCCAACCGTCATATACCTAACTTTTTCGTAAAGTTCTTTCTGCTTTAATCTGACACCTACCTACATAAGTTTACTCGACATGACACCATATTTTTTTCTTTCTTTCTTTTTCTGCTCCCATAAATGTCAGTTTTGTGTTTTTTTTTTGTTTGAACAAAGGTTTTATGTTAGTTTTGTGGTAAGAGAGGGGACCGTTAAGAGAATATAAGCATTAACCAAGCAATAAAAATGAATTTACCAAATTTGAGAAACAAGTCCAAATACATGACGCATATAATTGTAACATTTCTTTGGTAGGCTTTCGTATCTTGTTTTAAAATTTTTATTTATCAAAAAATAATTGATAGAATTTCTGCATCAACTATGTTAACCTGATAATCGTATCAATCATACTTATATTTGATGGCATCTTTCACGCCAACTACTTCCATTTTAAATTTAGCACGCATCAATTACACCAACACCATCCAATTCTATGTTTAAATTTGATATATGATTCTACTCATCTATAAATACGTTGCATCTGATTCTTAAATTTCTCAACAGATATATTACCAACCAGTCTATTTCTTGGACCCATTAGTCCATATTTTTGTTTTTCTTGATCACGACTTCAAGTCTATACGTGCTAGATCAGAAGCCGAGTGGCTGGCTATGAGGTCTACGGCATTAATGATTAATTCACCCAATACATGTATAGTCTTTTTCATTTACATCATACATGCTCGATTTATTAAACGATTTAAATAAAATGAAGTAAATATTATTGTTTTATTCCAATCGAGATCGTGTGGGATGCACTACAAATAGGTAATTTATACTTTGTTAAACTATCACGTGGATTATCAAAATGCAATTATGGATTTTAAAAACTATTTGGTTACATGCTTTCCAAAACAAAACAAAAAGAAAACCCATATATGGGCAGTCAGGCCTTTAAAATATACATGGGTAATAGATATAGAACGTCTATAACCTCGACAAAGAACCAAATCTATTAAAAATAAAATGCGTGAAACATACATAAAGACAATTATATATTTGATTGATCGCTCTAGAGATAAGATTAAGTTTAATTCAGCAAATAATTATCATTTTCGCTCTTTTCTCACATGAGGGTTAGCTTTTTAAAGAATAAACCCTCATGTAATTAATAAATGAATAGATTTTATTACTTTTTTTATATACTATTACATTTAGGTTTTGAAAAAAATACAATCATGAATTTCTTACATAAAAATGTTACGTCGTCATCTAAATGTCACTCCTCGTCTACTTCCTGTAGACAAAAATGCTTTCTAATATAGATTATAATATAAAAAAAATATATTTTTTTAAAACGTAAAACTGTAAGAAAATTTCTGTTGAGGTAATAGTTGGATGTTATTTAATTTATTGTTTATGAGTCCGGTTAAAAATGAATACCCTAATTAATGTATTTTATTTCTTCTCGTCAATGCTTAAATTTATTATATTATTACAGATTATATCATGAATCTACCAACAAATCTAATGAATGCAGTGAAAAAAATACTATTATTGAGAAAGAAAAGAAAAAGCTGTGAAATGATTACGAGCATATCAAGTAGTGCTCACATGAGCGACAGCCCAATGTGCCCACGTGAAGCAACTTTACCCCATTTTCTTAAATCAACACACCGTTTCGGTTTCTTCTAATAACCGGTCGGTTCAAGAACTGCGTTTTGACTTTCTGGAAAAAGATCATCTAAATACAAATGGCTTCGTGAATTCTATTATTCGGCCTATGAAAATTGGCTAATATTAAACCCATTACACGATAGGCCCATTAAGCATTTGGATTTCCAAAACAATCAAACCAGAAAAACCGAGTTTCGTCTGAATCGAAAAATGAATTTCGTACCGGAATCGAACCGGAATGTTGAACCCAAAAAGACCTCGACAAAAGAAAAGAGAGGGAAAACGGACTATTCCTCCACGAACTTTATGCATTCTGAAAATCCATACACGAACTATTGAACCATGCTTATAACTACATACAATATTGAAATGCGGCCAATTTCACCAAAACCGTAAACGGTGTTAATTTTCCGTCAATAAATAATGACATGGCTGACACGTGGCATGCCAGTTGTCGATTTTTTTATTTATTTCAGGGATCAAAACGACGTCGTTTTGATATTTCTTTTAAAAAATGCATTCAATAAGACTTGAACACATGACCTTCCAAGTAAGGGGTTTACCACCAAACCAACTGAACTAAAAACATTTATAAACTTTAATAAAGTAAAAATATTTATATTGATATCCAACTGAGATTAACATCATCCTTGGTTGATAATTTGTGTCACCTAATCCTCCCTTACTTCACTCCGACTTATAGAGTCGTCATCTACGACTTAGTTTGCACCAGGATTGACGTTGCCGGTGCTAATCCTGGATCAAAACAGATATTCGGATAGTTTTGAGATATCCAGATCTTTATCCGGATGCGGCGGATCCGAGTTTTAATTATCCAGATTCGTATCTGGGATGTTTGGATATCCAAACTTTTGAATATCGTCTAAATATTAAGATATTTGCGGATATTTCGGATATCCGGATCCGGATAAGAAAATATATTAAAAATCTAAAAAAATTAAAATAATAATAAAATTTAATTTAATTTAATATTTTGTAAAAAAAATTATTAGAAAAAATATTTTAATTTCATTTGAATTATTTATATATATAAAAATCTCAATATATTATATAATTATCAATAAAATATAATTTTTAAATATATTTAGAGGTTAGAGATTCAAATACGGATATCCGGACCTAATAATTTAACTATCCGGATACAGATCTGGTGTAGACGGATATTGATTTTTATTATCCGGATCTGGCTCTCTTGTATATCCGAATTTTTTTGGAGAGGATCGGAGAAGATCAGAGTGGATCCCGAATCAGATCTCGGATACCAAATAATAATTCTAGCCTTAGCCGGCGAAAACTTAGTCGTAGAGGACGACTCTGTAAGTCGGAGTGAAGTAAGGGAGGATTAGATGTCACAGATTATCAACCAAGGATGATGTTGATCTTAGTTGGATATCAATATAAATATTTTTAGTTTGTTAAAGTCAATAAATGTCTCTAGTTCAGTGGGTTTGGTGGTAAACCCTTTACTTGGAAGGTTATCTTATTGAATGCATTTTTTAAAAGAAATATCAAAACGACGTCGTTTTGATCACCTGAAATAAAAAAAATCGACCAAATAACTTAGTAAACTGGTATGCCACGTGTCAGTCACGTCATTAATTATTGATAGAAAATTAACACCGTTTATGATTTTGGTGAAATTGGCCGCATTTCAATATTTTATGTAGTTATAAGTATGGTTCAATAATTCGTATATGGATTTTCAGAAGGCATAAAATTCGTGGAGGAATAGGCCGTTTTCCCATAAAAGAGAGGCAAAAAATGGCGGAGCAATCGTCGCTGTTTTCTCGTGAGCACGGGCTTGTCGTGTTCGATCGCTTGAAGATGAAGTTGAACAACGAAAATGCTCTTCTACCGAGAATTCCATCGATTTGCGAGTTCTCTGGTCAATGGCGATTTCCACAGTTCGCATTACCGATGGAATTTGTCCCGTCTTCTCCCCAGTCTCGAGAAGAGCTCACAATCGCGATTTTTCCTACTGGAAGTCAACCCGACGGTTGACCTCCGTCGCGATCGGGCGTCTCCGGGACGGAGGAAAAGTGACGGCGACGGTGAATCCGTATTCGAACACGGACGCCGTGCGGCCCGAGGAGCGGAAGAGTCTGACGGATTTTTTGGCGGAAGTTAGAGATTTCGACGGCGGAGATGGAGGTCCGCCACGGTGGTTCTCTCCGTTGGAATGTGGGGCTCGCGCTCCAGGATCTCCGCTTCTCCTCTACATACCCGGTTCGTCTTTTCAAATTTCAGGGATGAAATCGATTCCAAATTGTGAAAATTAGCTAACAAAACTCAACGAAATCAAAACTGCAGGGATCGATGGTACTGGATTAGGGCTCACTCGCCAGCATAAGAGGCTTGGAGAGTAAGTATTGTGTAAAGTTCTTGTTTCTTCCAAAAGATTAGATTAGATAGAGTTCACCTCAAAAAAGAAGAAGAATGTATTGCTTGATGTTTCTCATGTCATTGTCTTTTGATCATATAGGATATTTGACATATGGTGCCTTCATTTTCCAGTCAGTGATCGTACACCGGCTCGAGGTGCTTCTTTTTGTTTGTTAGCTTTCTCTCTTGTATTGTATCTTTACCGTTTTGTTAAGCTCTTTTTCTGTTGGTTTCAGAAATTGTGAAGCTCATTGAGAGGATAGTTAGGTCTGAGTACTACCGTTACCCAAAGACACCCATATATATAGTTGGAGATTCTATTGGTGCTTGTCTTGCTCTAGATGTTGCAGCGAGTAACCCTGACATTGATATTGTCTTGATTCTGGCTAATCCAGGTAATATACGACTACTCATGATTTTTTTCTCTAGATCTTCTAGGCCATTTATGTAAGCATGATGTTGCAAGCTTAGAAATGTGTTATGCGCAACGCGTGTGTTATATGTTTGTAAGCATTGTTGGTAAAGCATGACACTCATCATGTTAAAAGAGTGTTCTTTTTGTTCCTTTTGGGGGGATTTGTGTCTTGTGCTCATCATAGACTCTCTTTGATGCAGTCACACGTTTCAACAACCTCATGTTGCAACCTTTATTGAGTCTACTGGAACTATTGCCTGACGAAGTTCCCTGCTTGATAGAGGAGAATTTTGGGTTTAAACAAGGTGAAGTTTCAACTCCTTCTTCTAAATCTCCTACATATATGGGTGTAAAGCAAACACGAATTGGATGCAAAAACTAGATCTAAATATTTCTATCACAGAGATGGGTTTCAGTGTCAGGTTTTGCGTGAAACTCAGGGCTAACTGTATTTTATTATATAGGTTATCCGTTTGCGGCAATGTTCGAGAGTATGCTGAATGAAACTGTCGCGCAGATGAGTGGTGGGCTCTTAGGAGACTTCTTTAAAACTTCAGCTAATCTGCCTGTAAGACTCTGTTTTAGGAGAAAAGATGATATTTGCATGTTTTTTTGTCTTTGCAGATCATAATGTTGCTCTTGTTTTGTTCTTCATTCTGTTGTTTCGATTTTACTTTCTCCAGTCATTCGCTACATGCCATGTGATAATATACTCACGGGAACAAATGATTTACAGACTCTGATTAAGATCTTTCCCAAGGACACACTTCTATGGAAGCTTCAACTGCTGAAGTCTGCTTCAGCATCTGCTAAATCTCGCATGTACACTGTCAAAGCCCAAACACTGATACTTCTGAGGTCCATAAACTTGTAAACTTCTCTGCTTCATTATTAACTACAAGTAGAAGTTCAGCGAAATCTTTGTTTGTAAATAATTTTATTAGTTGGAAGCTAAGTTGTAGCTTTAATTCGCCTATGTCTACTGCAGTGGACACGACCAATGGTTACTGAACAAGGAAGACATTGAAAAACTCCGTTGTGCATTGCCGAAATGTGAAGTCCGGAAGTTTGAGAATAATGGACAGTTCCTCTTCTTGGTAAGGTGCTCTTTCTCCTGATGCAAGAAATTTTCCTTGTGTCAGTGAGTGCTGGCTTTAAATTACGGAATCACAATATCTTTTGCATTTGTGAAATCCTATATAGTTAGTTCATATAAGGAAATCTAGTCTCTATTAGTTTGTAAGCAATAGAAAAATTTCTTGCATCATATTTGGTACAGAGCACTCTCAGATTATGTTTGGTTACTAATCTACAGCTCGATTGATCTATATTTATTGTCTTGTTAGGAGGATGGGGTAGATCTGGCGACTATCATCAAGATTGCCTATTATTATCGCCGTGGAAAGAAACTTGATTACATTTCAGATTACATTCGGCCTACTCCGTTTGAGCTCAAAGAGTTTGAAAAATCACAAAGGTACGTGAGTCAGTTGTTGCATCGACAATATCCTTGTGTCGTGTCTAATTTCTTTGTCAAATGCTTTTTTTTTTTACTCGTATAAGCTTAGCTAGAATAGAGTTACTCTGTTTCTGCTGCCGCAAGCAAATACTGAAGTATATTTATGTATTTTCTCTGGTCCAGATTGCTAACCGATGCTATTTCTCCAGTATTTCTCTCAACTCTAGACAACGGTACAATAGTAAGATCACTTGCAGGAATACCTTCAGAAGGACCGGTTCTGTATGTTGGCAATCACATGTTGCTTGGTATCGAATTGCGTCCAGCAGCGATTCATTTCTTGAAAGAGAGGAACATTTCGTTGCGTGGACTGGCGCATCCAGTGATGTTCACCAAAAAAAGTGGCTCAAAACTCCCTGATTTGCAGATGTTCGACTCGGTTAGGATAATAGGCGCAGTTCCTGTCTCGAATATGAATTTCTACAAACTGCTTCGTTCGAAGGCTCATGTGGTTTTGTATCCTGGGGGTGTTCGCGAAGCTTTGCACAGGAAGGTAGTTAATAGTTTTCTCTTCCATTATTGTTTGGCCCTTCTTGTTAATTTTTATATGCTTTTCATTTTAAAACACACATTTCTACAGGGTGAAGAATACAAGTTGTTTTGGCCAGAACATTCAGAGTTTGTGAGAATCGCATCTAAATGTGGAGCAAAAATCATTCCTTTCGGCGCGGTTGGAGAAGATGATCTCTGTCAAGTAAGCCAAAAATCTCCTCTCTGTTCTGGTTTCAGTATCAACAATTCTTAAGAAAATACACTTTGTTTCAATCGGTTTTTGAGTAACTTATTTATGCAATGGAATGATTCTCAGATTGTTTTGGATTACAATGATCAAATGAAGATTCCTTTCCTGAAGGATGTCATAGAAGAGATAACACAGGACACAATTAAGTTGAGGTATTTTGTTTCGATCTCTAGTTTGAGAATAGATATAAACATTTGATTCTGAAATCGGGTGATGATTATATGATTAGGAACGGTGAGGAAGGCGAAGTGGGAAACCAAGATTTGCATATGCCTGGAATAATTCCAAAGATTCCGGGACGGTTTTACGTATGCTTTGGGAAACCGATTGAAACAAAAGGTAGAGAGAAAGAGCTAAATGATAAAGAGAAAGCTCATGAGGTTTACTTGCAGGTCAAGTCTGAAGTAGAAAGAAGTATGACCTATTTGAAGATGAAAAGAGAAAGTGACCCTTACAGAAACATATTGCCAAGGCTGCTTTATTACCTCTCACATGGTTTCTCTTCTCAAATCCCAACCTTTGACCTCCGAGATAATTAAATTACAGTTACTTAGATTTGTTTTATATTACAGTATTAACTAATAATTTAACTGTGTGACGTTGGAAGTAATAAAAGTGGAAAATATGAATTTGGGTTTGTTCTGTAACTTTTTAAGAGATGGATTTGATTCATGTCTCCGAATTTATTCATATGTTTATCGGGATTTTGCTGGTCTATGACTAGTTTTTGTTCTTTTCGGTCGAATTTTCACAACCCTATGAATCTCTTAAACTTGAAATTACTCGTTTCTAGTGTTCCTTATAAATTGGGTTTAGCTCTTGTAATACTCAGTTTTATTTATAGATTTACCGTTTTAGCAAAAAATAATAATAAAGTGATATGACAATACCCACTTGAAAATGTGTGGGTCACTGCCATTTCTTAAACTTATGGCTATGGCTATAGATAGAGATTATTCTGTATTTTATGTGCAACATTCTTTTATTTTTCCTTCTAACAAAAAGAAAAAGAATACTATTTGTAACTATAAATATCCCGAACAACTTCGGAAGCGTAGATTCAATTGGTTACGTCAAAGTATCTTGGATTTTCTGGGTAATGATACTCCACATTCAACTGCAATTTCAGAAGCAAAATAAGTGTTTGCGTTCAAATAGCTGTTACGCTATCCAAAAAAAAAAAAAAAAAGAGAATCCACCAAATTGATTTTTAAACATACCTTTCCTTCATCAGAATCTGTGTGTCGTTGAGGAAACACAACTCTCAAGTCATTATACAAATAGAACCTCCTCTCTCCATCTTCTGCATTCAAGCTTTTCTTATGACCTAATTTTGAAGCTTTCTTGCGTAAAGGGCAAAGAAATTTAAGATGAAGAGCGTAGCGTAAGACTCCAGACTTTGAACAGCATTGTCCTGTTTCTCTGTAAGTCTCACGACACTTGCTGTTCTCACACTCACTTGGTGAATGAAATTCATCCACTGAATCAGATCTTTTGCTAGATTTAGTTGCAAGAGTTTGGTCTGCATCTATAGAGTTTTTGGCTTTTGTCGGAACAGAGGAAGCTAGAGTAACCTTTTGGCGCAGGAAAGTCTGATCATAACAGAATAACACAATAGTTGAATCAAACATTGAATTACTACCAGAAAAGAAAACAAACGAGTTGAAGAACATTGTTGACTCGATTGTCTGCGTTTTCATGACTACAAAAACCCAAGAGAAATCACATTTTGTTTTAAAATTGCTTCAGCTTGTAGATTCATTTGAAAACATATACAAGAACGCCACAATTGTACAAAAAAACTATAGAATGAAAGGTATGTTGTTTAAGAAGCTTAAGGGTTTAGATTCATCTGAAATCTATACACTAAATGTACACGTAAATGCAAACGCAAACAAACAATTTGGAGCCTAAAACAAGATAGAAAACGAATGAAGTAACGGGAGGAAATATTCTAAGTTACCTTTGTACCGTGCGGCATATCAGTTAAGTCATAGTTACAGAGGAAAGTGTGAAGAGGTGTCTTTTCAGGGTTACTTAAAACCTGCAAAACGGAGAAGCTTCTATCATGAATTAGTCATCAAATGATCCTAATTTTATCTCACTGTTAAGAGGGAAACAAACAAAAGAGAACAGAGACAAGAGGTACCAGTTGAATCCGACCCTTCATAGGTATCCGCAACCGGCTATTAAAGGTCTGAGAATCAGAGTTGTTTTGGTTCGTTTCCAATTTTTGACCCCATAACTTGTTTTGCAAAGATCCTCCACAGAGATCTATGGAGGCATAGTATAGTAAGAAGCAATCATCACCAACACTTGTTACTGAGAATGGAAGCTTCTGTGTTTTTGGAGAGATGTTTCCACCAGCAATACTAAGAATAGCAAGAAAACCATCGATCTTCTGTAAAGAAACAGACAAAGAGAGCACAAGTGAGTCAAATGTAAAATGTCTACAATTTTTTGGGTTTCTTCTGACTGTCAAAAAGTTTTAGCTTGTGAGTTTTGGAGTAAGTGAGACCTGGCTAGTTTGCCCATAGGAATATCTTCCTGACAAGAGGGATTCTTCAAAAGAACCAACTAATGACCTTTGAATGGGACGTCCACTCAAGCTTCTACTAAACCTTTTACATGGAGATGTAGGAGCTGATTCAATAGCTCTCTCCATTGAAAACGCTCTCTGGATAGTATTAGCATTACCAATAAATCTATGACCAGTCTGGAGTTCTGTTTCTTCAGCGGTATTCCTTACACAAACACCATCTTCGAAAAATTTCCCAATTATGCCCCCTTGTAAAGCTTTCATTCTCTCGGAAAACCTCGGCCCAAGAGGTGACAGAGAAAGTGTCGGAGAGACAGATATACTCTTATGACATGGTATGGGGTTAACGGGTATTTGAGATGTAACATGTACTTGTGAATATAAACAATCCACGCCCTTTGTGGGCTGCAGATCACTGGAGCCAAGCAATGGACCATCCGTGAAAACGATAGATGAAAGTTTACTCTTGTGTGACGAGAGATGTAATCTCCCGGAGATATTGGCCTTTTTGTGATCTTGTGCATTAGAAGTCAATTGTTGGTTGGTGCAGCTGATATCAAGCGGGTTGCCTATAAATTTCTCAGGGCAAAGCGTATTAATAGGAGAGCTTACTCGTTTCCTGACTAACGATCCACCAGTAATATCTACTTCATGAGATCCACCAATGGTAATACTCGTGTGTTCATTACTCGGTGAGCTACTTTCATCTGACTGGAAACCAACTATCCTTCGAACTTCAGCTCGATTCCAGTTAACCTTATCCATTGCATAATTCGTTTCTTGATGGCATCTCCACGGATCATCTATAAACCCCAAACTTTCCAATGTTGTTTCCCTATCAGATTCTCCAATGGAGGAGCAGAGGCTTCCCTCACTGCCTCTGTTAACGCTGTATGAATCACAGGGAGTGGCATTTACAGGCAAACTTTGAGAAAGACTGCAACTTGAAGCAGACGAGGAAGCTTGATGGGGTTGCTCATCTGAAGCAGTGTGTGGCAAACCCATACCAATGCTTAAACAACCTTCTCTCTGTTATCTATTCGATCCAAATGATATAGAACTAAGCATCGGTCATAAGCTTCCACAACAAGTCGTCCATTGATGACCGCATAAAAGAGATGAAACACATAAAACTTATGTGACAGTGGTTGAGGATAGAGAATACAGAGTTTATAGCTGTCACACACTCCTGAAATGAACAAAAAATGGAGAAGAAAAATCAATTACATATCCACCTAATCCAAAAACTATTCTAGCAGAGTCTCGAGCTGCATCACTAGAGAACACAAGTTGTACAAGTAAGGAATGATCAACAGATCATGATCGTATAAACCAGAACCATTCTCAAAGTTTCTTAAGCCTAGGATCAATGAAGCACATAGTACACACAAATTTAACGGATCATACGATTCAGATATAGAAGAGCCAAAATCATTCTCACAATCAAAAATCGCTAAGCAGCACACAGTGCATTGAGTTTAAATCTGTTTTAGAAATGATCGAACAACAAAACCACAAATTCTGCGTAAAAAGGAAGATCAAACAAACAAAGCACAATCATATGCAGCTCAAAAAGAATCATGAAATGTAGAAGAATCGCATGAAGAGATAATTTGTGTGATCAAACAAAGTGATCAAACAATGAAGACAATTCTCTCATTGATGATTATAACGCACCCGATGAAGGAATAAACTAGAGAATCTGTGGAGAAAACAAATTTCAAAAGCAATCCGAAATCTCAATCATTCACAGAAACCCCCAAAATCGACAACAGTGAATTCGTGCGGATTGGAGAAGAAGACAAACGAACAAGAAGAAAATAAATATTCGAAAAAAAAAAAGAGAGAGAAGAGAAGAATGTAGATGATTGAGACCTCTTCTCTTATATCTCGTCTCCTTGATTATAAACAAATCCCAATATCGTCGCATCACCATTTCCATCGCTCTCTTTTTCTATTTTTCTTTTTGATTTTTGATTTTTGATTTTCTGGAAACTCCACCTTTTGTTTTCTAACGGCAGAGTTAAAAATCAATAATCGTTAGCTCAAAAATTTAATGCAAATTATACACAATCAAATGGTGCTAAACAAGTTCAATCAAAGAAGAGAACAGTTAGGTTTCGATCCTCTAAGTGGGCTTAATAAACTGGGCCCATTTGTTAGCGAATCATATATTCGATCATCACGTGATATCATGTGGGGTCACGTGAGAGGATAGACGTTATCTTCTTCTTCCTCTAAACAAGGAATCTGATCATGTTACTGTCATTTTCACTTCCCATTAATGAAAAGTAAATAGAAACATCAATTATAATCACCTTCAAACCCAAAACTTCATGGATTTTATGATGCATCATTTTCTCTAATGACTCCATGTATTCTAAGCGGGAAAAAAAACAAAGGATATATTTCTATTACGACAAAAAAAAAAAACTTAACAACTTGGATTTTCCAAATACAAAGTGTCACTTTCATCTCCACTGTGCAGCTACGGTGCTTCTTTCTTGATTCCAAGCCGTTAATGGCGCCGAATGACCAACAAGACCAGGAGATTTCGAGCGTCGTGGCGGTGCAAATTGCCCCGGTGGTCTTGGAAGCTCATGGAGTTCGTTGATCCGTGGAGAAGAAGCGTGGGGAGGTGAAGCAGTAGGAGAGATCCTTGGAGAAGATGACTGAGCCTGAGCCTGAGACTGAACCGGAACTGGAAGACGCGTTGAGGATGGTTTGATCGGTCCAGAAAAAGTGTGTCTTGGTGCAGCTTCGTGAGGAGTTTCTGAAGGACGGGGAAGACGGGAATAGAGGTTGCTCTCTGTTTTCATTGGTTCAAGCGGAGATGAGTGCCATAAGTTTGCACTGTGGTTTGTTTTGGTGACTGGTTTAGTGAAGATTGATGAAGACTTTGAATCCGTCGGTGTTGGTAACACATAAGTATTCGAAGACGGAGTCATTTGCCTCATTGGCTTTTCCGGGAACAACGGTGCTGAATGGCTGCTCCTTCTGCGATCTTGGTATGAAGTCGGTTGGTTCTCTTCTCTATGATCTCCATTTACCTGTATTAGAGAGAATATGACTTCAAACACAAAATTCTCATTGCATTAAGAGTTCTCTGAGTACATAAAATGGAGAAATCAAGAACATACCGTTGCTGATCCTGCTGGTGAAGGGCGTTGAAAAGAGAGATCTGTGTCATCCATCTATGAGAAAACGGCAGTGAATGAGCTTATTTTCTATTGGATAAAGCTTTTTCTTCACGTTCGTTTTAAGATTCAAATTACCTTTGTTGATCCCTGCGGTGTAGATGTAGTAGCTTCCACTCTCTGCTCACTTGTAATGTAATCAAAACTGAGTTCTCCATCTCTGTTTACATGCCGGTCATCATCATCATCATCATCCCCACTACATTCCATTTCGTTCCCGTGATCAGAGAGCTCACAGTCGATGTGTTGTCTCTCCGCAGCAATTCTGACTTGTTGCTCTACTGCCTCAAGCGATTTTAGACCAGCAAAGAACAAATGCATCTACGGCAATACAAGAAAAGAAAGCATAAGAGACAATAATTGAGCAATTGCAGATCTGTTTCTTACAAAGATAGCAAGTACCTGAGCAGTGTGGTGGCGGGCTGCTTGTGTGAGGAGACTTCGAGCTTGACCTTCCTTGAGAGATTTCAATCGGAAAATGCACAAAGTCGCCTCGTCTTGTAGCTCATCACGGGCAGTCTCTAACTGTCGGCGAATAAGTCTCTCTCCTTTACTGCCTTTAAGTTGTACCTTGTCTTTCACATGCTCCATCATCATGTGCTTCACAACATCTCTGTAAGTAAGACTCCAGAGGTTAAGGCAAGATTTTTACAAACCAAACCAAGAAAAGAAAACTTTACATTGCAGAAAACAACTGACCTCTTCTCTTCACATTGTTGCTTCATATCCTGAGAGGAAAAGAAAAGAAAAGATTATCAAATTAGCAGTCTTTATTAAGGTTGCACTTAGCTTGAACCATTAAATTTTCTGGCCTTTATAAAATATCTGACTGCAATAGACTAAATCTAGGGCATACCTCAACGGTTCTAAGGTCATTGAGAAGTGACTCTGAAGGTCGTGTAATGGTCTTGAATATTTGAGAACGCTGAAGGAAAAAAAAAAAGAGATTGAAACAAACTTACTCAGCTTTTTCAGAATTATTTATACAGATTGCTACAAGGAAAGTACAAGGTTGCAACATACAACTTACATAAGTGTCGACGAGTTTCTGAAGCTCAAACTGAACTTTACCCAAATTCAGTAAAGTTTTACCTGCAGAAGAAACAATGTGTTACAGCATGCAAACAGGACAAAACAAAACTGCCATGATAGATGCTTCTTCAAACATTTACCAGTTTCTTCATCATTATGCGGCGCGATTTGCTCCAAGCATGAACCCATCTCCGCCAATGACTCAGAGAACTCTGATATTACCAAACAAACAAAACAAAAAAAAATGAAGTCTTAGCAATATACAAATGTAAACATTACAGTTGCAAACTTGCAAAGAGTTGAATGCATTATTTACCATATGCGCTATTAGCCGTTGCAGCAGCTACCGAGAGTAATCTATCATAACACTCTCTCATTTCTTGCATATCCTGAAAATAAGAGAGCAATAACTTAGATCATTCACTATCACCATATCTAATTAAACGAAATGTTGATCTCATTATAATCAAATTCAATGGCTAAATGATTCTCCCAGCCTAGATCAACCAATCAACTAGATACGATTTTCATTTCTTTCCATAACTAATATAAATGTCAAATGCTCCAAGAGAACATGACTGAATAGTAATGCTTCCACTTGAAACGTATAAATCAATGAACAAAGCTCTATAATAAATGTGTAAGTCCCCAATCTTCCATCTGCGAAGAGAAACAGAGTGAATTTTCACTCAAGTCACAGAAAACGGTGATGGATTGGCACTATTTGATCGGGAAAAAATTCGCCACAGAATCTCGATCGAACTAAGACGAACATCAAAAGCAAACAACCCAGCGATTAAAACCCTACTTTGAATCCCACAATTCCGCAAAACCCAGGTCTCCGAAAACAAAATTTGCCAGAATCGCGAGGAGAAAATTACCTTGGCTGCTCGAGCAAGCCCGTCAATCTGTGCCGAGGGGAAAAGCTCTCCGATATCATTCGCATCGACCTTGGGCAATGCGAATCTCCGTAACCTTCCAATCGAAGCTTTCATCATATCTCCAGAGAACAAAGCGAAAAAAACCCTTAATCACGAAGATATTCCCAGCAAAAATTCCTCAACCAAATTCGGGACACTTGGATAATTTCCGAACAAATAAAGATTTTGCGAGACTAAATCAGAGCAACAGATAGATAGAGCGAGAGAGATGAAGAAGTGAGATTCAAGTATCGTGGAATGTGTTACAAAATGACATTGAAGGAAGAAAGAAAACAAAAAAAGCTAAAAAGTTTTTGGTCAAAGAAACAGATCGAAACACAGGAAAGACGGAGACGAGACCAAGATTGGAGAGATTTTCTAACGCGTGTATGATCAACGGACCAGATATGAAAGTTTAATACGTGGCAAGATCTGAACGGAGATGCGAGTGGAAAAAGTCAAAAAGTCAAAGATTTATGACAAGCGGAAAAAAAGTGATCTATCATTATTTGGGTTTGACTGGAAGTTTTAAGCAGGTCAAACATCCATTCCCTTTTATCGTCCAAGAATTTGAATATTTTTGATTTTAGATTTTTAATTTCAAGTGGACAAGATCATATTATTCTATAACTTTATGCATATAACTATATAACATGTACATATGACCCGTTGATAAATTATGAGAACAGAGATCGAAATCACCGGATAATGATGATTTGATTATGACTCTTATCATGATCATTAAGGAGAGTAATAGCGCAATTTAGCAAGGTAGGCTGGGAGATTGCTAACATGAGCCCATGGAGGAGGAGAGATCCTATGCAAACGCGAGTTCTGGGGGCTGGTGTATCAGCGGGGGAGTAGACAAGCCGGTGAGTATCTGGTCCACACATAACCGAACCGAAATTGAAATGAATTATACCATACCGAATTAAAATTTGGTTAATTTCACCTTTTCATATATTAAAAAAAAAAACCCCAAATCTAAATCAACTATGTAAACCACAATTAGCAAGTCGTTTAAACCGTTTTTTTAGAACAATAGACTTATGTTAATGACTTGACTGGTTAAAAATGCTCTCTGCAATAAACATGTTTTGGTGGAAACATTTCTTCGTCTGCAAGCTTTCTTCTCTCACAAATCTGAAATGATTTTAAAAGGTAGTTTCCACTTTCAACAACGTAGGTGTCTGCAGCAACTAGGTGATAAAGATTTGGACTTTGATAGGTATTGAGAATCTAATACCACCAAGAGCTATTATTTATATATATATATTGATCAGATTCTTTTCTCCATTCATTCTGATTCTTAAACTCTTTACAAAAATTCTGCTCTCCTTTTTTGTTGTTCATGACAAAATTACATAACCATTAAAAAAAAACAACAAACAAAACTAATCAACCAATCCGTTTTTAAGAATATAAGAAGCTAAGGTGGAGAAGGAGATGGAGGAAGAACATTTTCATCTTGCTCTCTAAAAAGATCCAAACTCTCTGCAGAAACACTTTCTTCTACTTCTTCTTGTTCTTCTTCTTCTTCTTCTTCTTCTTCTTCTTCTTCTTGTTCTTGCTCTTGTTCTTCCTGTTCTTCTTGTTCTTGTTCTTCTTCTTCTTCTTCATCTTCGGATTCGGAACCAGATTCGATAAAGGGCAAATCAACAGTTTCGGGTTTGATCTTCTTGCGGAAAACATGGCAAAAAACCCAATCAGTGTCTGCAACTGTCAATGGGAGGCTGATTTCATCCATGAACCAATTGTATTTTGGAGGTTCTTCTTCATCTGACAAATAAATATCATCGGATTCTTCATCATTCTCAACGAGAGTAAATGAACGTTTGATACCGACTAATGCATCATTATTCTTTGCATCTAAAACATCGGTTTCTTCTTCTATTTGTGTCCAAATATTATGAGAGCTGGTATTAGTAGTAGTAGTAACTTGGTCCTTAAGTTTTCTGCAATAGAAGTACCAATGCTTTTCTCTTGGATAGCCTAAAAGAAAAAGGAAAAAAAAAAACAGAGAGATCGACGATTAGTTCATAAACAAGACAAACCTTAAACAAAATCGATTCTTTTCATAAATTATGTTTAAAAAGCTCTGCAAACCTTGAATTATTTGACATTAATGGAAGTTAAGATCCGAAACAAGAAACCCAGATAACAAAATCTGTTTTTTTTTTTTCTTGGAACAAAAGTTATTGAAAAATTAGGTTTAGGATTGGGGAAAACTTGCCAGGCAAATCACGAGGACGTCTTGAGAAGATATCATGACACTCTTCAGGTACAATACGAGTATTCATTGGTTGTCCCAAAGCTTTTCTCGTCAAGAAATAATTTGAAATCTCACAATCTGTTGGACGAAACCTGAATCCTACAGGCAAAGCTCTGAGTTTTGGTTCCATTATTTACCACACAAAAAAAAAAAAAGAATAGTTATCAATTGGTAAGATTTTGATTTTGTGATGAGAGAGATTTTGGTTTATATAGTGTCGGAAAAAGTCAATCGACAATTCCGAATAGGACTATGGAAAGGAGAACTGTTTTCCTTTCTTTTTTTTTTATTTTAAGTATAAATAATAGGTAAATACAACGCTACGCATGCATTTTGGTTGTTAAGTAGGGAAGATTTACAAATTAATGAAATGATAACAATAGTCGATATGATTCTGCGTTGGCCATATAAATTTTTTAAAATTATTTATAATTAAATCGCAAATTTTAATTTGGCAACGTAAAACAATTTTTTAAAACAATTATATTTTAGTTTGTTTATATTTTAAAGAGACTTTCTGTTGTGGCTATTGGAATTGGATTCTTGAATGTGATACTGATGAAGAGGAAATAAAAGAATGTCTTTTGTTTTCTTCATAGTTAAGGTAGAGAAGAAGGAGAACAATGAATTGTCGTTTGATTGGAACTTCAAGCATCCTTTAAAAGGTTGGATCAAAGACAAATAATTCAATTTTTAATTGGGATATAATTAAGCATAATATCAATTAAAAATGTATTATATCTATTCAATTAAAACAGAAGCACTTTTAATACCTGTTTCTAAATACACATAATTTTTTTTATATTATTTTTTTATATTATAATTAATTTCGAAAATTGGTTACTAATTTAGATATTGTTAGATTTCTTTAAATATAGATTATATTAATTTAAATTTTAAATTATTCAAATTTTTTATTAATTAAATTTGATTACGAAAATTTAGATTCAATTTAAATTAAAATTCAAAAAATTATTAATAAATTTTATTACAAAAATTAGATAATTACTTTAGAATTTCTTAAATACAGATTAGATTTAATTTAAATTTTGAATTTAAATAATATTTTTACAATAGCACAAATGGTAAACAAATATCTTATTGTATTGTTTATTATAATAAATTCGTCTAAAGCATCAAATATTTAATATTAGTAAATATTTATATTTTATAATAATATGATAGAGCAAGTTAAAGTTATACATTTATAATAACAATCTTATGTTGGTTAGTTTATCAAAACATGTAAGATATTAGAAAATAATTTGAGATAACTAAACGGACGGATTATCTAATTCATAGATACATAGATTTTTTTATGTGTAAATTTAAATTTACATAATAATAAAATTCATAATTAACATTATACCTCAATATATACTTAATTAACTCATACTTTTATTCTACTAATATATAAATCTATACTATTCAAAGTTAAAATATGATAACAAAATTTTTGAATTAAAAAAACATAACAAAAATAAATTCTATTAAAAAAATATATTAAAAATAAAAAATAAAAAAGTATCGTAAGGACGCACAATCTAATTCTTAATTCTTAGTAAATTTGATTCACCTAGTTGTTACTACTAAAACTAAAGCAAAAATCCAATAGAAGAGATGGAAATCAGATGCTGCCCAAAAAAAAAGAGATAAGATGAAATATTATAAAATTAGTGATAATTTTTTTGGTATTACTACCATTTGTCATCGTTTCATTTTTTACATTGTCCTTCATTATTGGTCTCGGAAGTCTTATTTAGTCGCCTAATCAGTTTTATTAGATAGTTGTAATTTGCTCTGGCATATATTGATCTATGTAAAATGTAAGAAAATTAAAGATTTATTTACAGTTTAACTATTGGGACAAAACACCCATAAGAATAAGAAAGGTAAGAAGAAAAATAAAAATTACAACTCTAAATTAAACCCGAAAGAAAAAAATATATGATAAAAGAAAAGAATAGGAAACAGAGATGATGATCGTCAATGTTGTATCATTTGAGAGAGAAGCTTGAGAAGAAAATCAATCTCCTTTTGTGAGAACTCAGGTTTTGTAATGGCAACATCATCCTGGGAAGGTGATGATGGTGATGGTGATGGTGATGGTGATGGTGGTCTAATCATCATGAGTGTCGCTGACTCTGTGATCTCCTCAACAAAATCTACAATCACTCCTTCAATCCCCATCACATATTGCATGTACACTGCCTCTCCCACATTGCTGCAACACCATAATTAAAACAGATTAAAATCTGATCAAAAGTCCGATCAAGCAGAGCAATAAGCACACAAATGTAGAGTTTAGAGATAACTTAATTGAGCATAAGAAAAGTTGAAGAAGCTTTACTTGAGTTTGCCGTATGTGAGGAGAGAGAGGTTAGATTCTTTGATCTTGCTAATGGCTGCTGGGTTTCTGAACACTCCTTTGACCTCTGAAACAATGCCTTGAAGCTTTCCTTCCAAGCAAACTTTAATGGCTTCTTCGAGTGAGTTTCTTCTCTCGTCATTGTAGATTTGGTTCCCCGCATCAGTCAGAAAAAAAACCTGGGTTCAGTTGAGAAAACAATCCTCAGCGGTTGCATCAAATGTATGAATGTGAATGATCACAAGCCTTGTGTGGTTATTGGCAATAACATTTGATAGTGGTAGTAAAATTGTGAAATAAGCAAGGATCTAACGTGACTGATGAAAAAGTCAAGTCAAGTTTTTGGAACTATCAAAGAAGTTAACGAGATTGGAGCCTAGAATGGAACATACAGGGTAAGTACTTTGCAGCTCTCTAAGAAGCTGTGCTGCATCTGGTTGGAAACTTGAGAAGATTACTGGTCTGTCTTTAGCGCAATCAAATACCACCTGTAGTTACCACACAGAACATTATGTAAGAAAAAAGAAGAAGTTAAGAGCTTTACTAATGCTGGAAAACGGTTAAGGCAAAGAATGCAAAATTCTCTGTAATAGTAAGTGTGATGTATAAGAGATTGATGCGGAAAGTCTCTAACTTTTTTCTGTAAGGATTTCAATGCCTTAAAATGATAGACTCACAATTCTTGATCCATCCAGATCCACTAAGGGTCAACAACATTGATCCAAAAAGAGATATGGAGAAAAAACCCTCTTTATTATGCTAAACAGATCAAATAGATTGTTGAGGCCTTTCTCTTATAAATACGGAATGAGCTGAATTTGATGACAATACATTATTGACAAATGGTTCTATGTTTCGACCCTAATAAAGTGTTCATGCTCCAACAAGAAAAAGTAGGAAGAAAAGGAACTAGTACTGGGGCATACCTGCAGAACTGATCTCAGGGCATGGACGAGAGACTCTCGTTCATAGACTATATGATCATCGAATTTCAACTCGATATTGAACCCCAAAGATTGCTCAACTAGTTCGAAAGCTTCTTGTAGCGTGCAAAGGGAATCATCCAAGTCAACGTCCCATTTCAGAACCGTACCTTCTTTGGTTTTCCTCATCAGAGTCTTCCCTATTTTCTCAGCTTCCTTCTGAGGTCCATAGAGAAGGAACTCAGATAGACTCAAGTCCGTCACTCTGGTCTCATTTACAATACCCTGAGCAATAACACACACAAAAAAAAACGGATCAGTCAAGCCAAGATCGAGAGAAATGAATCAAGATCCAAGAGAAGCAATGTAGAAGACTCACATTTTCTTCAGAGTAGATGAAGTCATCGTGGAAAATGACAGGACAATCATCTTTTGTCACCTACAAAAGAAACACCACACAAAAGCTCGTTGTGGAATGCTTCTATTGCCATCTCTCTCTCTCTTTATTTCTTTCCTTCAATCTTCTTGTTCTTATTTTCATATCAATTCTAAGAAACTATAAAAATAGCATTCCACAAACCCATGAACAAAAAAAAAAAAGAGAGATCGAAATCAGAATCTTCTTCCACACCAAATTTAAATCCCAAATCGAAAAACAAAAAAAATACACCCAAGATTAAGCCTTTTTAGGGTTTTTGAAAAGACCCAACTCATCAAAATCATAGTCGGATAGATAAGATCGGAGCACCAACCTGAACATCGAACTCAATGAAATCGATCGGGAATTTGGCGGCGGAATTGAACGAGAGAATGGAGTTTTCCTTAAACCCTCTCGTTCTCCGATCAGAAGATTGCAACACATTCATGCCGTTTCCTCTGTGTCCAATCACAGAAAATCCAGGCATCCTAAACGATTTCGGTTTGCTCAAATCTAAACCTATCAACAACAAAAAATAAAAGTGATTCAGAGATAAATTCAGCAGCAAAGACGAAGAGACAGAGCTCAATCTCCGGCGAATAGAGAGAACGCATACCTTCGGATAATCTGTAAACAGACTCCGGGAGGCTAGGGACGTCGGAGACGAGCACTGTACGAAGAGCCATTTCTCAAGAGTATAGAGAGAGAAGAGAGAAGAGAGATTTAATTAGGGATTTCGAAATTTTGTGTGACGGTTTCTGGTTTTTCATTTTTGTGGAAAAAGAATCAGTATTTATATTGAAAAAGAAGCTGGAGGATCTCCGCGTTCGAATATTCCATTCCACGTCAGCAATGTGCCTTTCTTGATAGTTTCTTCCCGCCTTTTATGGGATCTGGTACGACAAAGAGTACGTTCTCTCATCTAATACGTGGCATCGAGTCATTGGAGATAATTTTATCTTACACGGCTCAGTCTCTGTTCTATTTATTGAGAAATCTTGTTTTTGTTTTTTCCAAACATATATATGGTGAAAATATTCTTGTTTTCATTTATAAGATTCCTCCGTAAATAGGGAAACAGAAGGAATATAATTCTGTAATTGTTTTCCTACGGAAAAATAGGAAAAAATAAATAAATTATTGTGGAACCAAAAATTTGTTTAATTTTTGATGTCCAGATTTTATATAATTGTTATTTTTTGACCAAATTGTTATTTTTCATTTCTTTTTGTAATTGTTCATTGTCAAGAAAAGATAAAGCAAAAGAAATGAGAAGGTTTTCCTAAAGAGAGCACTTAATTTACCACCAAAAGTATTTCTTGAAAAGTGCATTTTTAACATAACAATGCAAGTTCGAATTGGAAACGTAATTACCATTTAGAATGCATAATCAACATTGTTCAAATTTTCTAAGAATTCTACAGCTTCGTATAGAAAGTGCAGATTTGCAAATAACCTAAAACTGTATAAACATTTTGTGAGATAAATTATTAAAAATTGAAGCGAGTAGACTATTTAGTGATTCTTGAACCAGCATAATAATTAGCTTTCTTGAGTACATTTTTAAAATATTTTCTCCACGAAAATCTGACATGTACTTATGGAATATCTATCTGTCAAGATAATGCGAAACTGGATTATTAAAAAACAAAAAAATTGTTGTTGTTGACATCAACTGGATGGATTATCAATTATGGTTGGCTCGTGGGTCAGATCCAGCAACATGTGAACTTTCTGCTTACCCCGATCCACGTCATAAAACCAACATGTTTACCAAAAAAAATGAAAATAATTTATCTAACATTTTTCTAAGCCGAACAAGTGGCCGGTTAAGTCCAGTCCGGTTGGTAGTATGGTTTGGTAGGTCACTAGTTTTTTCTTTTATTTATTACTTATGTTTGGGTTTGTAACGGCCCACAAGAAAGGTAGATCCCCAAATTAATGTTCCGGCCCAAAGTATTTCATCCTCCGTAAGTCCTTATAAACCGTAAAGAGAACAAACGGTAAAAGATAATTAAGAGGAGGAGGCTAAGAAAATGATACAAGTTTTTTTTCTTCTGTTTTTGGGAAAATCACATTTTAAACCTAAAATATAGCACTTTAAATTTAAGGGTGAGCATGGAGCGTATATATTGGATTTTGGAGGTATCCGTGATCCGCTCCGTCCAGATCATCATTTTTCCGATCTGTATCCACTCCGTAATTATCCGGATATCCGTTTTCTAGATATTCGCCAAAAATCCAAATATTTTTGCCAGATATCCGATTCGCTTCATAAAAATATTAAATAATAATAAATTTAAAATAAAAATAAAAATTTCGAAAATTAAATCTATATAATAATTATATCTATATATAATAATAAAATTTATAAAAAAATTCACAAAATTATATCTATATATAATAATTATACAGTTTATATGAATTATTATCTATCTATATATATATATATATACTTATATCGGAGTGGAGCGTATATCCGTCTTATTTTTTTTAGTATTTGTGATTTGCTCCGTTTTTTTACGGATATTGAATTTTATTATTTGCTTTGCTCCATAAAATTACGGATATCCAGATTTTTCAGATCGAATCGAGACGAATAACGGATCGAAGCAAATATAACGGATATTTTGCCCAACCCTATTTAAATCTTGGAAGAACTACACTAGCACTTTAAACCTGAATTGGTTTTCAAGTTTGCACCACGAAAAAAATGACTGAAAATGTTCATTTTCCCATAAAAAACTGATGACATGTCAGTTATATTTTATAAATAAAAATATTTTATATATTTATTTTAAGAAATAAAATACAAAAAACAAATTTACAAAAAAATGAAATATTTTTATTATTATTATTTTCGTGTCAGTTACTTTTTATAATCAAAAAAATTATTTTAGAAAAAAAATTAACTGACACGAAATATGAATGGTGTTGAAATTTTTTTTGTAATTTTTTGCTGTATTTTAATTATTATAATAAAACAAATTATTTTAAAAAGAAAAATAACTGACACCAAATATGAATGGTGGTAGAATTTTTTATACTAAAAATATATTTTAGAATTTGATTTATTGAAATAAATAGATAATTTTCTTTTATTAAAAAATATAAGTGACACATCATCACTTTTTAACTGAAAAATGAGTTCCGATCTTTTTTTTTGTGGTGTAAACTCGAAAGTCAGTTTAAAAGTTTTAAGTGTTAATATAATCAGTTTGAAAGTTTTAAATGTTAATATAATTATTTTGAAATTTTAAAATGCTAGTGTAATTATTTCAAGGTTTAAGTGCTACCTAATTCATCCATCGAGGTTTAAAATGCGATGCAAATTTTTTTAAACTCTAGTCAAAATTAATGACAGAGAGGAGAATTTCAAAAATCACATGTCTTTGTTGGACATAATAGAATAATTAATTAGTTTGTTAATTTGTATGGAAAAAGGTACACTAATACAGTGATGATACCGTAAATTTTTTATCGATGTTATATGATTGATACATCACTTACCGTAACCGCTACGAATTACTAGTCATTGTATACTCGATGTTTATAACTTGCACGATTACAAGTTCATTCTTTTTAAAAAATGGAATGGGTTTCCTTGTCACTTAACAAAAGTTTGGGTTCTTTTCACTAAAAAAATGAAAATTGGAAATTATGTGTTTCGAAGTATCAATAATTTTGGCTCGAACCGACGTTACAGACAGCAAACCATTAATGAGGAAGAGTGGGAAGCAGAGCAATCGGCGCATTAATGGCAGAAGACAAAACCCATTTATTGTTTTATCTTTCTCACCTCCAATGTCCCCATCTTCCTTCTTCTTCCCCAAATTTAATGCTCTCTGTTTTCGTTCTCCGTGCAATACGCAAGCATTCAAATTCATTGTCGGCTTCAGAAAATTCAAATTTTTAATTTTAAAACAGAGACAAGAAGAACACAATCTAGAGACGGAAGTATACTGATCTATTATAATCTGGAGTATATGCGAAACACAAGGATTTAATTTGAGATTAACCCTTTTACAAACTTTAGCTAACTAATCATGGGTCTGCTACAAAATTTTCGATTCAAAATCCTGTCGTATTCGGAACAGAGCAAGAATTTATTGATCTGGATTCACTGTCTGACGACGATGATGTTGATGGGTTAGGTTTAGGGTTTTGTTTCGATGGTGGTGGAGCTGCGAAAACTGGAATCACTGTCCTGACTTGAACTGCTGGAGCTAGCCTATTACAACCTCCGACGAGATTGAATCTGCCTTTGTCGGAAAAGGGGATTCGGTTACTGATTCTGTTTGATGATTCGTTGAACCTGGCTTTATAATCAGCCATTGGTAAAGGAAGCGCCTTTGTGATGATCATCTCTGTCTCTGGCCTAGCTTCTTGTGTTGATTTGCCTTTGTATTGTTGGAGATTTGGTCTTAATGGCTGGTTTTGTGTTGGGGGAAGGAGAGAGATGAAACTGGGTTTGTGTTGTCTCTGTGTTGTTGATGAAGAAGCGTCATTGATCGAGAGATTGATCCATCTTAATCTCTCAATCAACAAATCCTTGTTTGTATCCTGTTGAATTGTTCTTCTTCTCCATTGGTTTGTCTCTCTTCTTCTCAATTCTTTGGGTTTGAATCTCGAGAGTACTCTTGCTACAACTTCTTGTTCCTTCTCTTCACCATTTTCCTTTTCTCCCTTAGAATCCAAGCTTGACACTGCACAGCAACAAAAAAAAAAAGAGAGGATGGAATCAATTAGAAAAGTGATGATTTCTGAAGGTTTATGTAAACTTGGAAAGAGAGTGTTATGAGCACTTTTTTTCAAAGAAGACCAAGCTGCAATTGCTGCGTTTTTCTCGGCTTGTTTCTTTGTCTTTGCTGATTCACCAGTGAAACTCATCCCAGCAAGTTCCACGGTGCAAGAGAAAGCTGGGAAGTGGCAAGATCCTGATCTTACACTTGTGTACATTGGTAGATCAAGACCAGCTCTATGTGCTGTCTCTTGAAGCAGGTTCTTGTAAATCCCTGTCTCATCCTAGAAAACAGATTGAAATGATACGAGATGTTACACTTGTTGACGACTTTATATATGACCAAAAATTTCAGAAGAAAAGACAGAACTTACAAGAATCTTAGCAGTTAGAGACTTTGAAGGGACTCTAGAGGAAAGGACATTAAGTGAAACTTCAGCAGCTGCATGTTCAGCTTGTCTGAGCGTGGAACAGTAAGTGGGACTCTCAAATATCTCACCATTGAAGTTAACAGAAGCTTTGAATCTTGGAGCATGATCTGGTCCTTCTCTTATGCAAGTATATGATGGTAAGTTGAAACAGCTTCTCTGTGCAAGCTCTTGCAGCTGATTCTTGTACATGTTTTTTTCCCTGTAAGCTGAGAAAAACACCAAAATCAAACACACAGTCAACTCCAAAAACTACAAATCCTTTTTTGGTAGGTCTAAGAGAAGACAAAAGGAAAAACCTACCTGCTTAATATTGGTATCTAAGGTTTGGCTATTTAGTGTTTGAAAGTAAAGATTAAAGGAGAGAGTTTTGGCAGAGGTTTTTAAGCTCTTTGCTCACATGGCAAGGTTCTAAATAAAGAGGAGCTAGAGGATGCTAAAACAGTAACAGTGACATTTCAATTGAAATATGGTTTCGTCTTTTTATATAATTTAGAACATGTGCATACAAATAACACTTATGAATGAACAAATCCTAGTGACTCTCTTTATTGTCTTTGTCTATCATGGTGTTTGACTGGACAGTTACCTTCGTTCTCAGTTAAAAACAATTACTTTTTTTTATCAATTAGTCAATAGATGTTCATGAAACTGATCTAGTCTAATAATGTAAGGCTATAAATTTTTATTTGACCATTTTGTTTGATTCTGTTCATGAATTAAACCTCCTTGTCTGAAGAGAAGACTCATCTCTAACACTGTTTTATCAAACATTACAAATTTACAACCCAATACTTAAGGAGTTTTGTTTAGATGCAATGAGTAAATTAAATTACAACTTAGTAGAAGAAGAAGCCTTTAGGCTTTAAGGGTTCTTTTGCATTTATTTGTAGAGCCGTGCTTTAATGAAGACTATAAATAGGACTGGTCTGGTCTTCTGGTCCACATGTCTGAAAACTCAGTTTCAGCTTTTTTTTATTACTTGTACAGTTATAAGTACAGTGTAAATCGTCTGTATTCATTTTGTTTTCTCATTCTGTGAAAGATAAAATCAAATCTTTTTCATGTGTAATCTGTTCAAATTATAGATTACATTAAACACAATGGTTTAGGATTTAACTTCTAAACACAACATAACTTTCTGAAAATTCACAATTGTTAATTCCTTCTACACCCAGAATACATCAACAAATCAAGCTGAAATCATACCAAAAAAAGAAGAAAAAAAACATCTGAAAACACCGTCAATTTCTTCTCTTAGCTTTGTTTCTAAGTTATTCTTGCTGCTAAGGCCATAACTTGTTGGTTCTTGAACTTCATTGTTGTTTTCCGTTTATGAGTATTTAGCCCAGGGCCATGATTCTGACAAAGATGAAGGAGACAGCTGATGTCTCAAAGGCTCATTTTTGCTTCATCATACATCGTGGAGTAGTCTACATATGATGTTGGTGCTTAACCCCTACTGTTTTTGTGATCTTGTGCAAGTGACCACATAATCATGGAGAGTTCTTTATCAATTAGAACAAAGTCTACCGAGGTTTTTTTTTTTTGATATCAATCAATGAATTGATGCTTGTGAAAATGATTTAGTCTAACAGCATGAGCTTTAAATGTTTATTTGACCACTTTGTTTGATTCTGTTCATAAACTTTTGTCCTCGTCTGAAATGAAGACTCATCTCTAACCTTGTTTTTAGATCCATTGAGGAAGTCAATTTAGAACCCTGCGTTTTGTTGCAGAACCATGCTTCAGTGAACACTATAAATAAAGACAGGTCTGGTTTTCTGGTCCACATGTCTGAAAAATCTAAAATAGATTTTTTTTTTTTTGTATTATTTGCAGTTATAATAAGTAACAGTTATGTATTCATTCTGTGAAAGATAAGTACTGGTAAAAATCGTAGAATACATTAAACACAATGATTTTAAGATTTGAACTGTCTGAAGTTGAACTACAAACTTCTGAAAAAAAGAGTACCTACAACTATTGATTTCCACTGTATAACCCACAGTACAACAATAAATCAAAGCTGAAATCACATCTGAAAACACCTCTCAATTTTTTCTTTTGGCATGTTTCTAAGTTCTTCTTGCTGCTAAGGCCATAACTTCTGGTGACATTTCCCAGCTTGCGTGCCTTGGAGGAATGTTTGGCCTATCGGTTCGTGCATCATCATCCACCTCCGTCCTAACGCCTGATGATAACTCCCCTAACTCGTGTTCGTTAACATGGAACCGTTCATTGTTATTACCGTTTTTGTCATCACCATGTTCAGCCATTGCCCAAACACCTTTCCTTCCCATCTCAATCTCATCATTAGCTCTTCCCATGTTTGGACTCATAAAACCCCCAACAGCTGATCTTGATGGCATCATTACTGGAGCTTCCCTTGGTACCATAGCTCTGAAATTGTTCTTCGAAGGAGGTATCGCGGAATAGAAGATTTCTTTAAAGTTATCAACCACTCCTTTGTTGTGTGGGTTGCTACGCCGGTCATAACTGTATCTGAAATTCTCATATGTAGTCTACATAAACAAAAGAAGATCTTGAATCAGAGAGTTTGTGTTTTTTTTTTTCTAAGAAAGAGAGGCAAAGTTTCATGTTACCTGATTTGTGCTGATGAGATAGAGATGGAAACCAGTTAAGCCTCCAACGAACCACATCGATATGAACGTGTAGATTATCAGAGCAATGGAAGCTGGAGTTTTGAGCATTGCTTTCCAAATGGTTACATTTTCAGATTCTTTTATCTTCCTTATATAGACACAGCAGAAAGCCAACACATATACACAGAGAAGAGTCGTTGAGAAGACAAACATGAAGAAGAATCGATAGTTCCTCTGCAAAGAAACATGAGATATGTATTATAGACTGATGCAGAAACCAAAGTACTTGGAAGCTGAAAAGTGAGAAACTTACTTGAGCAATACATTGACCAACCCAAGGGCAATGATGGTCAAACCTTTCTACGCAGTTGTTGCAAATCGAACAGTGTGAGCAGCGAGGAGGTCTATAGAGCATGCAAGTGTCACAGTACTTGACTTTAAATATGATTCCATTAACTTCCACTTCCTTTACGCGAGGCAATCTTGGAGTTAAACTTGTCCCCGAGTTCGTGTTGCCATCAAGAACTTCTGGCTCTGGAGGATGAGAGTTTCTTGGGATAATCCCTGGATCTCTTGCGGAGGTAAGCATCAGAAGAATTAAATCCTGAGGAAAGCATTGATTGTTAACTAATGCCTAGTCACAGGACGTTTACAAAATGCAAAAGGGAAACGTTGGTACTCACATAAACGGTGAAGACAACAGCAACAGAGACTACTGATACTCCCCAACTATCAGAGAAGTCTTCAATTAGCTTGCTAGCGACGAAGATGCAGAAGATTGTAACAGGGACCACAATGAGACTTATGGTCAGACCAAGTGATCTTACGTCTGGCCCAAAAATAAACCTTCCTTGAAGACAAAATATCTGCAGAAATTTTTGGAAGTAAAGTTAGCAAGTCAATAGAAAGGCTTTGGGGTCTAACTTGAGAGTGTTTCATCCAACCTATTTACTACTAAACTAGATTTCATCTTTGTGTCAAATATTTTTGGTTGTGGCAGTCAAAGACATAACCTCAATACATACAAAAGTATCAAGTTTATAACCGTTGGAAGAATAAGCGATCCAATTAAATCAATCAGTCCTCGAGCTAATTCCGTCGAGAAACCCTAAGTTGTTGGTTAAAGCTAAGATTTTTATTCACAGTGTAGTCACCTGAAACAGAAAAGCTTCTTAATTTTGCACTACGACATTGAAAGCTTGGACTGTAGACAATTACCCTTAAAGCGTCACATGTAACACAAACCTTAAGTCCCAGTTTTGAGCTAGACAAGATTGGAACAGACTAATCTGAACCCAGTGACTGAGAATTTCTACCCAATACTAGGAACAATAATAGAAACTAGAGCTCAAGCAAGAAATTCAAAAGCTTTCACATAAAACTCACATTGCTTCCTTTCCATGTCTGATAAACCCGCAAATCGCAGTTGGATCTCAAATCCGATCTTTGAGGAGGCGTCACTACATACATCTCTTAGCTCTCTCTCTCGATTTCTCTCTATCGATTTCTCTTTCTCTCTCTCTCTCCCTCCCTCTCTCTCCTCTCGTTTTCCTTAAAACACTAAAACGAAGAAAACGAAAAAAGAAAAGAGAAAGTTTTTAGAGCTAGTTGAAGAGAGTCCGGGAAGTCTCCGACATGAAATGAGTTAGTAGTATTTTCTTTTGTTTTTTGGCTTTGATCTTCTTCTTCTTCTTCTTCTTCTTCTTCTTCTTCTTCTTCCTCTTCGTCCTCCACTTTACTCTTTGCTTTTCTTCGTTTTTTTTTTGGCAATAAAATAAATATTTTAAAAATCTACTATCAGCTTCCGTCAGTCTGTCACAGCAGAAAGTGAAGAACGGGAGAATCAGATGACGTGGCGTTTTCCTAGTGGTCTACCATTCGTAAAAGAAGTTCGATACCGGAAATAAGAAAATTAAACATTTTTAACATTTTATACTTACAGAATCGATCTTTATTTTCTCTTTTGTCAAGAGTGACAAACTGAAAATGCAAAACTAATTGAACCACACTTCTAATTGCTTGATGGATAGATCTTACAAGATTTAAGAAAAATTGATGTGGCTAAGGTTCATATATATATATATATATATCACAATCTCAAACAACCTTAATCACTTTATGGCACTCTGATAAACTGTGGGAAGATCTTGAGAACCGAGGCTTTCGAAATAAATTTGTGTGAAACTATATGTATAGATTGAAACTTGTCATAATGTCAAATATTGATTGGCAATATATATGCTTTTAAACAAAAAGATGTCAATGTTGGCTTTTGTATTGATTCTTAATTAAAATCTTTAGATTCGATTGTATAACTGAAAGTAATTTATATGTCGTAACTCGTAAGATATCACCAGTAACTTCACCACTATATATAACAAACATATAAATTTGCATGTCATAAGCTAAGATATTACCAGTAATTTTACAGATTATCATAGAAACATATTTTTGATTTATACAAAATACAAGCAAATTTTTTGTGATGTAATTAAGATGGTGATAATTTAAGCCTATATATATGTTATGTTAAATATATGTAGTATATGGTCGATTGATATACATGAACTTGGGACGCTGTATGTGTATAGATGTGTGTGTGTGGATTCATGCACCAGCCTACACATTCGTATGTACCAATATGGATAAGTGAAAGTGCATATATAAAAAGAAGAATCCGATGTGTGTGTGTGTTTATGCAATATTCTCGAGATATCATGGTCCTGTCCTGGTACAGTCTCATCTCATGGTTTTGACTTTTAAGTTTCATATATTTAAAGCTTTTAGTATACGTACACGCAGAATGTATATATACGAAATGTGAATAGTCATTCAGTATCCGTATTACCGTATACATCTGAGCATTTAAATATTTATAGCAAATATTTGCCATTATGATCACATGGCAAAACCGTAGTAGTTAATAGTATTTGTATCTAGGACGTGCTGATCTAAAAGGTATAAGAGTACATTCGTCAAAAAATAATTTTAAGAGTATTTTATATATTTAAGCGAGTAATAAACTAGCAAATATGGATTAATAACTTCCAACCTTCTGGTTAAAAGTTAAAAAAAAATTTTTTTTTTTTATTTATTAAGTTACACATCAAGTCAACACTTTTACATATCAAATCAACACAGGCAACATTAGACCAAACATATTGAACAATATAAATTTACGAATCCAGCTTTTTGTTCCTGATCGATAAAATTAAATTCACTTTTTGGTAGAATATACATATATGGAGAAAAACTCAAATCAAGTTGGCAGCTTTGTATATGCTGCATATCCTTCTATTTTGTTGCAAAGTACAGGAGGTTACAGTCCCAAATATCAAATCTGTTGGGAATAAATATTTTAAGGTGATAAAAGAAAGTGTTTAAGTGTTTTGGAGAGAACAGAAACTTTTAGGAAGAAAAAGGTTTTATTGCTTTTAGAATTCTTAGAACAACAACATAAAACATCGATGGAGGTATTTATAGCCTCCATGTTACAAAATATCTCTAATATTTTAATCTAATCTCTAGATATTTCATACAAATATCTAGATTATTACTTTCTAGAACTTTTAAGGAAGTGGAAAAATATGAAGATGATTCTAGAGAGTTTCTAGAAGTTAGATCCAACAAATAGTTATTGGATCATTAGCCCAATACTTAACTTTAATCCAAAATCAAGTTTAACTTTCAACACCCCCTCTTAAACTTGATTTTGCACTCCAAGCAAGCTCCTCATTTTGATAAAGTCTTCACGCTTAAGTGGCTTGGTAAATATATTGGCTACTTGGTCGTTCGTCTTCACATACTCCAATTGCAAATCCCTGTTTGTGACACACTCTCTAATGTAATGATAGCGAGTGTCAATGTGTTTACTTCGATCATGGAAGACAGGATTCTTTGCCAATGCTATTGATGACTTGTTATCCACAAAGATCTCTGTTGGCTCCTCTTGTGGCAAACTCATCTCCCTTAATAGGTTTCGTAACCAAATTGCATGGCAAACACATGATGTAGGCGCTACGTACTCTGCTTCACACGAAGAAAGGGTGAAAATCGGTTGCTTCTTCGACATCCATGTGAAGGCTGTATCTCCAATAAAGAACACAAAGCCACTAGTGCTTTTCCGGTCATCTACATCTCCACCCTAGTCGCTATCGCTATATCCAACAAGCTTGTATTCGTCAGAAACATAGTAATACAAGCCAAAGTTTATGGTACCTTTGATATAGCGAAGAATCCTTTTAGCTGCCTTGAAATGAGTTGTTGTAGGATGCTCCATATAGCGACTCACGACTCCAACCGCATATAAGATGTCAGATCTCGTGCACGTTAAATAGCGAAGACTTCCAACCAAACTCTTAAAGAGTGTAGGATCAATAGTTTCTCCTTCTTCTTTCTTTGACAACATGCCTCCACATTCCATTGGCGTGCATACGGGATTAGAATCATCCATCTTGAATTTCTTGAGCACTTCTTTAGCATAGCCTTCTTGAGTAATGAAGATTCCATGATCTTCTTGTTTTACTTCAATTCCAAGGTAGTAAGACATTAATCCAATATCAGTCATCTCAAACTCATTCGCCATGTCTTTTTTTAACTCCCCGAACATGTTTGAATTACCACCAGTGAATATCAAGTCGTCTACATACAAGCATGCAATCAATATATCATCATTTTGAGTTTTGATATAGAGTGCATGCTCATATGGACACTTGATGAAGTTTTTCTCCTTGAAATACTTATCAATTCGGGTATTCCAAGCTCTTGGTGCTTGTTTTAACCCATATAGTGCCTTCTTTAACCTCAAGACTTTGTCTTCTTTTCCCTTGATTATGTAGCCTTGTGGTTGCTCTATATAAACTTCTTCTTCAAGTTCTCCATTTAAGAAGGCTGATTTGACATCCATTTGATGTATCCTCCACTTGTTTTGAGCTGCCAATGAAATGATTAACCTATCCGTTTCTAGACGAGCAACGGGAGCGAATACCTCATCATAGTCAATTCCCGCTCTTTGAATATAGCCCTTTGCCACCAATCTTGCCTTATATGTTTCAACTTCTCCTTTAGAGTTCTTCTTTTCTTTATATACCCACTTCACACCAATCGCCTTATGCCCATTTGGAAGTGAAGCTAACTCCCATGTCTCATTCTTTTGAATAGCCTTGATCTCTTCATCCATTGCATTTCTCCATTTCTTCTTCTCTATAGCTTCTTCAAAATTCATGGGCTCGCAATCCGCAAATAAGCAAAATAGAGTAAGATTGTCTTGATTTTCAGTTACCTCATAGAGTTCTTGCAAACTTCGGAAACGTGGAGTTCTTTCACTTGAACTTTCATCTTCTTGAGAACTCGTTGTTGGTGAAGTTGGTGGGGTAATGGGCTCCTCTCTTCGTTCCTCCAATTCATCTTCTTCAAAATGTGGAAAAAAGTTATAATCTTCACCATTTGATCTCCAATCCCATTCTCTTTCTTCATCAAAGATGACATTTCGACTGATGATTGTCTTCTTTGTATTGGGATTGTAAAGCTTGTAGCCCTTTGAGTACTCATCATAACCAATGAAAATGTACTTCTCACTTTTGTCATCTAGTTTGCTCCGTTTTTCGTCCGATACATGAGCGTGAGCAAGGATTCCGAAGACTCTTAGATGAGAAACACCAGGCTTCCTTCCGCTCCAAACTTCTTGTGGTGGTTTTCCTGAAACGCTTCTTGTTGGAGATCGATTTGAAAGATAAACCGCGCATGCAACTGCTTCTGCCCACAACTCCTTTGGTAGTTTCTTACTTTTGAGCATGCTCCTTGCCATCTCAAGGATCGTCCGGTTTTTCCTCTCCGCAACTCCATTTTGTTGAGGGGATCTCGGCACCGTCAATTGTCTTCGAATGCCGTTATCTTCACAATATTTTTGAAACTCTTTAGATGTGAATTCTCCTCCACGATCAGATCTCATGGCTTTGATCACAAGGCCAATTTTCCTTCTCGACATGGGCTTTGAACCTTTTGAATTTTTCAAACACTTCTGATTTTTCTTTCAAAAAGTAAAGCCATGTCTTTCTTGAATAATCATCAATAAAGAGAAGGAAGTAGTTACTTTTACCGAGTGATATTGGTTTGATCGGGCCACATACGTCGGTGTGTATGAGTTCCAATGGCTTCCGCGCTCTTGTTTCTGACTCCTTTGGAAAGCTCATTTTGAATTGCTTTCCAAGTAGACATCCTTCACACACTTGCTTTGGATGGTTGATACAGGGCAATCCTCTCACCATTTCTTTCTTGGAAAGTAGCTCTAATCCTCCAAAGTTAAGATGCCCAAATCGAAGATGCCAAAGCCAAGACTCCTCCTTGTAGCACATCTTGAGACATTGTGCCATGTCATTTTGAATGTTAAGAACAAACATTTTATTCTTTGTCATTGGCACCTTTGTAATGAGCTTGTTTGCTTGGTCTCTTATAGAAAGGCTATTATCCTTTAATCAAATATCATAACCTTTCTTTAAGAGTTGTCCAAGGCTTAATATATTGGTCTTCATGGTTAAAATATAATACACGTTGGAGATAAATTGATGGTCTCCATTCTTCAATCTGATGAGAATATTTCCTTTACCTTTCACCTCCATCTTTGATTCATCTCCCAAAGCCACATCTCATTTCACCGATTCATCAAGCTCTACGAACATGCTTCTTTTTCCGCACATATGATTGCTCGCACCACTATCAAGGTACCACTTGTGAACCTCTTCTTGTTCATCTTTCTTGTAAGCCATCAATAACATATCATCTTCTTGGCTTATTTCTTCAACATAGTTAGACTTCTCTTCAACTATTCTTGTTTGGAAATTTGCATTCAGAAGCATAATGACCAAGCTTCCCACAATTGTAGCATTTAATGCTTGGCTTATTAAACCTTGATTTTGGGCTTCTTCTCCCACAACCTCTTAATGAGCTCTCTCCTCTTTGGTTGTTGTCTTCATAGGTCCTCCAGCCACGTCCATGTACATATCCACGACCTCGTCCCCGGATTTGACCGCCACCTCGTCTTGGATGACTTCGTCCGCTTTCTTCTTTTGCTTGATCAATCTGCATCTAAGTACTTGCTCTGTGATGTCTTCCTTCTTCTTCTTTTCTCCTAAGACCAAGAAGTTGCTCCATTGTCATAGTCTCTAAATCTTTTGTCTCTTCAATGACGGTGACAATATGCTCAAATTTTGAATCCAACGATCTAAGGACTTTCTCCATGATTCTCACCTCGTCTAACTTCTCGCCGTTTCTTTTAAAGTTGTTAGTGACCATCAGAACTCTTAAGAAATAATCTGAGACAAGTTCACCTTTTTTTCATTTGCAAGGCTTCAAATTCTCCTCTTAAAGTTTGAAGACGTACCTTCTTAACTTGCTATGCTCCTTTGTAAGAAGTTCGAAGCTTCTCCCATGCTTCTTTAGCCGTCTTTGCACCCGCGACTTTCTCGAACGTGTCTTCATCTAGTCCTTGATAAATAAGACAGAGAGCTTTCTTGTCTCTCTTCCTTGAGTCTCTCAAACTATTCCTTTGAGTTTGAGATAAACTCCCATCATCCTCCGGTTCAGTGATGTCTTTCTCGACAATCTCCCATACATCATGTGCTCCTAGAACTGGCATAATTCGAGACTATGAAAAATTATTAATTTATAATATTTATTAATGCATCAAATATTAATTTATACAGTTTCTATTATATATATATATATATATATATATATATATATATAAATCAGGGAGATGTGAGGTAGGTATCAGACTAGAGAAGCACACTTTTATCACGCTAATCCATCAACTTGCCAAAACTTACATGAATATTCTTCAATGGCGGGACCATGTACTGTTTCACATATGCAGAAAATGAGCGTCTTCAAGTATTTCATTTCCTCTGCAGCGCATCGTAGACACCAAGAATCCTATTCACGAGGAAGATACAGAAGTTAAAATCAATCGGTGGAATGTCAAAATCGAAGAAAAACCTTTCTCCATCCAGTCAATCAATCGGCGTGATTCATCGTCCATGGTCCATAGGCATTAGCTTCTTAAGATTCACATCTGTTTCAAAATCATTCGCCAGTGTTATCATTTTTGTTTAGTTAAATATAGAAAGTTGAGCTACATCTCTAGAAAACTTCCAGATTAGCGTTTTACCTAAAGACGACGGAACAGATTCATCATCGTCCTTGAAATAGTTCCCAGAAAATAGCCGTCTGATGTAACTGATGTTGAAGATAGCAATACTGAGCAAATTCCAAGCCTATCTCAACAAAACGAACACCAAAATAAAGACCCCAATGTCAAATAGGCGCATTAACGAAAAAAAAAAAACAGTTTACGACCTCTCTAATTAAGCAACAAACCCTAGATATGCGAAAATCACAAGGAGAAATTTCGTTGATCCTTAAAAAAAACACAAAAACAAAAAGCTCTGAGGAACACGTTTTTGCTTACCGGAACGTAAAAGTCCTCTTCGCTGACCTCATTTTTTTTCATTTTCTTCTCACCGACTACCTGAGAAAATCGAGACTAAATAAAAGAAATGGAAAAGAAAAAAACTCAAGAGGCTAAGAGAAGAACTCGAAATTGATGAACGTCGTCTTCTGCTCACCGTTTTTGCAGACGTACAAAAACGAAGAAAGCTATTGATTTTTGCAGTGATCTTAATGGAAAAGAGAAGAGAAGTTTTCAACAAAGAAAAAATTGGAACTGGGTGTGTTAAGAGTTTCTGCGAAAGCTTTTTTGAAATTTGCAGAGTGTCGTACAGAAGGAGAATTTTTGAAGAAGTAATCAAAGTTAAACAATAAATGTTTATAAATTATCATAACTTAATTTGAGTATGATATATGATGACTGCACAAACGTCGTACATTATTTAAGTATTAAAGTTTAATATGACATGATTGAATTGGCTGACCTTTTTTAATATGAACTCTAGCTATTATCAATATTGATTGGAGAAAAACAAAAATGTATCCCTTATAATTAAAAGTTTTCCCATTACCCCTCAATTCCAAAATCAAGCACCACTACATGATCCCCTAAAATTTATAACCATTTTGCTATGAAATTCACCATCTCTCCAACTAGTGAATTCATCATCGTTGCTATGGAGCTCCATTAGAATCTGGGTTAGCCTATATTTTGAAATATGGCATACCCAGAGAAGAAGTGGGTCAGGAATATTTTGATTGTATGAAGAAGCGGACTTTCTATGAAGATGATACAATCTATACAATAGATGCTATATAAACATGATACACTGGAAGAAACTTTAAAACGTTTAAGAACTCATCCTGTTCTTGCTTCATTATACTGCTTTTGAAGGTTGGGATGGAGACACTATTTACAGTAGCCCGATGAAAACAGGGGCTAGATACGAGGGTATACATGTGTGATTATGGAAATTAATGGGTGAACAGTAATCCTCTGTAAAGGTTCTGACAGCCTTGATATTGGAGTTCCACAATACAGAGGCTATATTGCTGTAAATCCAGATGTCATGTTCTTGCTGATTGGGAAGGATAAGACAAAGGAAAATGTGGGTCATTGGCGGTGCTGTAAAAAAACTCAACACCTTCTCTCTGAGTTTCTATCCATTGATATGAAGTATGAAAATGAACAATTTAATAGGAGGATCCAGAAGAAAGACAGAAGAACAAAGGGTTTGAGGTTAGTATTGGTTTTACTTTAACGTTATGTTATTATAATCTTTTTATGTTGATAATTGTTAGCATCTGATTGATTAATGATTTTTTCTATAATTAGGTCAATATTGGAGAATATAGTTGGCAGCGTGCCCCTGATATTAAACCTCAAAAACATCGAAGAAATGTGACAAACGTCCAAAGTTTTTTTTTTTTGCCAAACTGTAGATATCATATAGATGAAAGATGAGGCTTTACAAGAGCAAAGGCTCCAAAGTTGCTATCATGGCAAAAAATAAAATGTAAAAAAACATGATAACAAAGGATTTAGCAAATGCTTCACAAGACACTAACATAGCCAGAATGCCATAATTAATTATCTATCAATGGTCGACTAAATTACTATGTGCTTTTGGATTGTTAAGCGTTATGGTTTCTTAACGTGTTGTTCTGCTTGACTTATTTAATGTGCTCGTTAATAAGACAAGGATGGGAGACATAGGTGCTTTCATACGTTCAAGTTTTTCCGTTTCGACATTAGTTTAATGGTTTCTTCTTTTATAAACGTTTGTTAGACTCTAGAAAGAAAAGAAAATACACTTTTCGTAGAGGCTGCTTTCAATACACTTTCCTTCCCACCATGTATTTCGACATAGAAACCCTAATATCCACAACCTCTGGCGGTTCACGTTCCAGCTCGTGAGACACATTCAGCTGAAACCTGATCCAGACCATACCCTTGATAAGCAACATGTTCCATAACCAGTATTGCTTTTTTTTTTCTTTCAATGAACTGAAGTCCAATTAACAAAAACTTGGCCATAGATGGAGTTAACGGAGGAAGAGAGCACGCATGGTGCGTTAAGTAGGTTTTGGTCTGCGTTGCGTCCGCCTCGGACTAGATAACCGCCACGGTTTGCAGACGCCTAAACCCTGCCTTAACAAAGTTGCCGCACACTGACTCTTAGCCTTTTTTGCTATTACAGTTTCTGAGCTATGACTCGGTTTCGTATCCTTTCTTTCCTATAATAGTTTCTGATTTCGTTATCCGACCCAAGAGACTCAAGCATCCCTTGCGCTCATCGCAGATTCTTCTGACCATAGCAATGCGATCAACATTGCGATCAACATTGCACCCGTCCTTGTACCTTATGTAGAAAATTGCATCACAAAAGACATTGCCAAGTCCCACACTTGGCCAGTCTTGAATGGATTCTACAGCCACTTCCAGAATCTCCAAATTCGATAGATCAGGAATATCCATAGAGTTCCTCTTAGTTGTGGCGACTGCAAGTTCCACATAAAGACGAATCCAGTCATTGTCTTGCACCTCTGATTTCTTCAGCTGCAACAAGAAGAAGCAAAACATATATAACTACTACAACAAGTTTTTTGTTAATCAAATAAACTCACGGCCAAGTGTGGAACTTAACAAATTAAAATCTTACCACGTAAAATCGCTGCTCTGTATTTTGGAAAGGATTCTGTGGCGGTAACTCAGGCATGTAATCAGAGATTAAACGGTAATCCAACACTCTCTGAGGTTGCTCTTTGATACCCTTAGCGTAACCAACAACTTCAGAAAACTCACAGCATTATACCTACACAGAGATCGATAAGCATAACAACAAATAGCCGTTAGAAACCAATGTACTTTGAAAAAGCACAATACCTGACAAGATAGTCAAGCAACTTCCTTAAATTCTTTGAGATCAGAAACAAGCTGTGTGGTTCTTTTCTTCAGAGTATGCCAAATGGGGTCAAGCTGCCTCCTCACAATCTCATCAAAGGACTTGAACAAACCACTTTCTACAGTCAAATCATCCACATCGACTTCGTTAGTCTTCCTTGAGGCAAGCGTCCATGAATTCAGTGATTGCTTTCTGTATTCCCACCATATATTTCGACATAGAAACCCTAATATCCACAACCTCAGGCGGTTCTCGATCCAATTCCTGAGACACATCCAACTGAATCCTGTTCCAGAACAAACCCTTGATAACAAACCTGTTCCACAACTATGGATTCGTAATGATCCAACCAATATTGCTTTTTTCAATAAACTCAAGTCCAATTTACAAAAAAAACTGGGCCATAGATGGAGTCGATGGAGGAACTGAGGAAGAGAGCACGCATAGTGGGTTAAGTTTCGGCGAAAACGGAGACCATAACTTGCAGGGGCATTTAGGGTTTTGACAATTCGCAAGACGAAGGCTTCGGTCGAGGTTTCGGAAAGGGAATGAGCGTTGAGGATGAAGATTTAGGAAAGCGAAGAAACCAAATATAGTACTAACAAGGGGCAATTTGGCTAGTAACAATACTAATGGTATAATATAGCACGTAACCAAATTACAAGGATTGATGACAATAATCTCAAATCAAATCAGGAGAATGAGACGTGCCACATACCATCTTTATATACTTACTGGTTTGTTCTTTTCTGTACATAATAAATTGTGTTATTCCATTACTTATTTATTTATTTATTTCTTACCGTAGTACTTAAAAAAAAAACAAATCATTCTTTCTCAAAACATGGATCAACTTTAATTTTTAAACTAGATTTAGACCCGTGCTGTGCACGAGAAGTTTTATTTTTAAAGATTTCAAGTTTGGAGAGCATATACAATTTA